CAAAGACTAGGCAAAAAGTGCCACACCTTGGCTGTTGCTGAGGGGTGGTCGCTGCAGGCTCCCAGACACTCACAGCTGTGTCTGATTATCCTAAAAGCTGTGAATATCTAGTCTGGTAATCGTGACCAATTAGTCTGATAATCATGTTCATTGAATTAGAATCAATAATTGGAATCTATAAACGATATTATTGTTTGATTGGTAATTTTTGTCTTTTTTCGATTATTATCGTAGCGTTTGGAGTCGAAAATAATTTCATATGACGAGGTAAGTCGATTCATTATTATTCAACGGAATTTTGTTTTTCACGTTCAACACGTTGTCCATTAATTTTTTTGTGTGTCCAGAATTTCCATTACAATTATTCAGTACGTGTTTAAACTTTACGAAACATTTGTGTTATGTATCTTATTTGATTATCTCTCTGAAAACGCTCATTTAATCGAAAAAAGTTTTTTGTTGTTGCGATTTTAAATCAATTGATGCAATGCTATCTTATGAAGGATTTGTCACAATTATTGGTTATCTCTACCGTTTAATGAGGGTTGTGGCATAGCATTACCTAACCTGCCGTGCGCATAGGTTGTTTGAACCTAACTAAAATCTAACCTTTATACCAGCCTGAACCTAACCTTTATACCAGCTTAAACCTAACCTTTATACCAGCTTAAACCTAACCTTTATACCAGCCTGAACCTAACCTTCATACCAGCTTAAGCCTAACCTTTATAAAAGCCTGAACCTAACCTTCATACCAGCTTAAGCCTAACCTTTATAACAGCCTGAACCTAACCTAACTTTACTTACCCGTACCCTATCGGACCTAGCCAAGTCTGTCTGAACCTAACTTAACACAAGTTACTTGAACCTAACCTAGCACAACTTCCTTGAACCTAACCAAGCCAAACATAACCTAGCACAATTTACTTGACCCTAACCTTTCCTAGATCCAGCAAAACTTACTTGAACCTAACCTAGCCTAGATCTAGCAAAACTTCCTTGCTTCCTTGCCAAACTTAACCTAGCCTAGCCTAGCCTAGCACAACTTAATTGAACCTAACCTAACCTAGACCTAGCAAAACTTACTTGAACCTAGCAAGGCAAACTTACTTGAACCTAACCCAGCTAAACTTACTTGAACTTTAACCTAGCCAAACCTGGCAAACTTATTTGAACCTAACCCAGCACAACTTACTTGAACTTAACCTAGCACAACCTACCCTACCCTACCCAACCATACCCTAACCTAACCTACCCTAACGACACCCTACCCTACCCTACCCTAACCTACCCTACCCTACCCTACCCTACCCTAACGACACCCCTCTCCCCCAGATGGGCGGGTGGAAGTCAGCAAGGAGGGCAAACTGCTCTCGTACATGTCACCGGGGAAGGTGTTTGGGGAGCTCGCCGTGCTCTACAACTGCCAGCGAACTGCTACTATCAAAGGTACCTTCTACTACTCAACGAAAGTAGTTAAATTTGCATAATACTTGATCAATGTGTAGCTAATTATTAAAAAACCCTTTTGTACCAAACTAACTTATCATTGAATGCCACTTACGGGAAACTTTGTTGAACATTTGCGAACAGCTACTATCAAAGGTAGCTTCTACTAGTCAACGAAAGTAGTTATATTTGCATAATACTTGATCAACATGTAGCTAATTATTGAAAAACGCTTTTGTGCCAAACTAACTTATTGAATGCAACTTACGGGAAACTTACCGTTGAATGTCATTGAACTGTGGCTAAGAAAGGTAGCTTCTAGTAGTCAACGAAAGTAGTTATATTTGCATAATACTTGATCAATATGTAGCTAATTATTGAAAAACTCTTTTGTGCCAAACTAACTTATCATTTAATGCGCTTACGGGAAACTTACCGTTGAACGTTTGCGAACAGCTACTATCAAAGGTAGCTTCTACAAGTCAACGGAAGTAGTTATATTTGCATAATACTTGATCAATATGTAGCTAATTACTGAAAAATCCTTTTGTATCAAACTAACTTATTGAATGTAACTTATGCGAAACTTGCTGTTAAATGTCAGCGAACTGCTACTATCAAAGGTAGCTTCTACTAGTCAACGAAAGTAGTTAAATTTGCATAATACTTGATCAATATGTAGCTAATTATTGAAAAACCCTTTCGTATCAAACTAACTTATCATTGAATGAAACTTACGGGAAACTTACCGTTGAATGTCAGTGAACTGTTGCCATGGAAGGTAGCTTCTACTAGTCAACGAAAGTTGTTATATTTGCATAATATTTGATCAAAATGTGGCTAATTACTGAAAACTTTTTTTATATCAAACTAACTTATTGAATGCAACTTACTGGAACCTTACTGTTATATGTCAGCGAACTTCTACCATCAAAAGTAGCTTCTACTAGTAAACAAAAGTAGTTATACAGTATTTGCATAATATTTGATCAATGTGTAGCTAATTACCAAATAATTATTTATTATGAAGCAATGGCTTCCCGCTGAATGCAAGCGAACGGCTATGGAAGACATCGTCCATATTGCATGGAAATAAACAAGTGCTAGCGCCTGGTGGGATTATTTGTATTTTTTAGTCGAAAAATTAGCAGATAAAATTTTATGAACTAATCGCCATGCTAAAGCCAAATTGTTTTCCCATTAGCCTTGACGCGTTCCTATTCCATTAAGGTTATAAATATACGTAGAATATAATCATTGTTCAATAATCTTCTTTCATTAATAATTAATATCGATACAAAGATGACACACTTCGTTTCTCTGGTGTGAAATAATTTAATTAAGTAATTTAAATTTCTCATTCAATAATATTGCTAATGATCAATATTGATTAAAAGATAACACAGAACATTTCTCTAGTGAAATTATTTAATTCAAAATTATATAATAAATTTTAATACTTAAAAGATAACACTCAACATTTCTCTAGTGGAATTACTTAATTCAAGATTATATAATAAATTTTAAAAATTAAAAGATAACACTCAACATTTCTCTAGTGGAATTACTTAATTCAAGATTATATAATAAATTTTAAAAATTAAAAGATAACAAATTAAATAATAAATTGAAAAACATTTGACAGCTGTGACAGCATGCAATATTATCAATATAAATAATAAATAAGTATATTTATCATTTAATTCAAAATTATACAATAAATTATTAAACATTTGACAGCGGTGACGGCATGCAAGCTGTGGGCCATCGACAGGCATTGCTTCCAGACCATCATGATGAGGACGGGACTCCTGCGACAGGCGCTATACACCAAGTTCCTTAAGAGGTGTGTTACCTGTTCTTTGTGTTCACTGTTCTTTGTGTTCACTGTTCTTTGTGTTCACTGTTCATTGTGTTCACTATACACCATGTTCCTTAAGGGGTGTGTTACCTGTTCATTGTGTTCACTGGTCCTTAATGTTCCTTAAGAGGTGTGTTCACTGTTCATTGTGTTCACTGTTCATTGTGTTCACTATACACCAAGTTCCTTAAGAGGTCTGTTACCTGTTCTTTGTGTTCACTGTTCATTGTGTTCACTATACACCAAGTTCCTTAAGAGGTGTGTTACCTGTTCATTGTGTTCACTGTTCATTGTGTTCACTATTCCTTAATATGTTCCTTAAGAGGTGTGTTACCTGTGCATTGTGTTCACTGTTCCTTAATGTTCCTTAAGAGGTGTGTTACCTGTTCTTTGTGTTCACTGTTCATTGTGTTCACTATACACCAAGTTCCTTAAGAGGTGTGTTACCTGTTCATTGTGTTCACTGTTCATTGTGTTCACTATTCCTTAATATGTTCCTTAAGAGGTGTGTTACCTGTGCATTGTGTTCACTGTTCCTTAATGTTCCTTAAGAGGTGTGTTACCTGGGCCTTAATGTTCCTTAAGAGGTGTGTTACTTGGTCCTTATGTTCCCTGTTCCTTATGTTCCTTAAGAGGTGTGTTCACTGTTCCTTATGTTCCTTAAGAGGTGTGTTCACTGTTCCTTATGTTCCTTAAGAGGTGTGTTCACTGTTCCTTCATGTTCTTTAAGAGGTGTGTTCGCTGTTCATTGTGTTCACTGTTCCTTAAGAGGTGCTTTTGTTAATTTGTATGTACGTTCATTACAGTCCAGTAATTATCTCAATACTATTTAATCTGATCAGAGTTATTGTTCTAATACGAATATTTCTATTCACAATTGTTATTGCATTAAGAGGCTTACTGAACCGCCTAACTAGTATGGGTAAATCCCTTGTATCTAATTCCATCTTTTTTGCCACATTTTTTATTATCACAATTTTCGTTTTACATTTTACATTACGAAAGTCGTTTTACATTTCTAATATCGCGATATAGCGTTAATATTTGAGATCGTTTGAAGAATATTCAGTACGACTAATCAATTTTTATATAAATATATATATAATGATATATATTTAATATATATGCAATATATATCACGATACAATAAGGCAATACAATATTTTGCATGAACTGAACAATATAATACATAGTTTACTTTAAGATGCAAATGGTAGACGAAGGAAACCAGGACAACGGCCGCGGTTTTTTATGTGTATGTTATTTAGTGCTTGTATGACAGATGTGTTAGTAGGTCGCGTGTGTGGCTGTGTGTATACATAGAGTTTGTCCACACATGTGCCTGTATTTAATGTGTAGCTAACGTGAGCGTTGGATTGGAAATTATTAGTATTTTATTGAGCGCGATTAAGCCCCGGTTGTATATTAGATAAGTTGAAATTATCGAGGTTGTAATAAGCTTCATTTTCCACCAATTTTATTGGATAGCTTGAAATTATCATAAAATTTATTTATTCATTTATATTAATTATTTATCACCCTTCCTTCCTAGCACTGCCAGTCATAAACTTCCTAAAATTAAACTTTGTTTAATTTTCTATTTTTTTTTTGTACGTCTGGTTACACTTTTACAGCTCTTCACTCTTATTTTCACTCTCCCAGCTCATCACTCTTATTTTCACTCTCCCAGCTCTTCACTCTTATTTTCACTCTCCCAGCTCTTCACTCTTATTTTCCATCACTCTTATTTTCACTCTCCCATCTCCTCACTCTTATTTTCACTCTCCCATCTCTTCACTCTTTTTCTCCATCACTCTTATTTTCACTCTCCAGCTCTTCACTCTTATTTTCACTCTCCCAGCTCTTCACTCTTATTTTCACTCTCCCAGATCATCACTTTTATTTTTCTTCACTCTTATTTGCACTCTCCCAGCTCTTCACTCTTATTTTCCATCACTCTTATTTTCACTCTCCCATCTCCTCACTCTTATTTGCACTCTCCCATCTCTTCACTCTTATTCTCCATCACTCTTATTTTCACTCTCCCAGCTCTTCACTCTTATTTTCACTCTCCCAGCTCTTCACTCTTATTTTCACTCTCCCAAATCATCACTTTTATTTTTCTTCACTCTTATTTTCACTTTCCCAGATCATCACTCTTATTTTCACTCTCCCAGCTCCTCACTCTTATTTTCACTCTCCCATCACTTCACTCTTACTTTCAATCTCCCATCACTTCACTCTTATTTTCACTCTCCCAGCTCTTCACTCTTATTCTCATTCTCCCAGCTCTTCACTCTTATTTTCAATCTCCCAGCTCCTCACTCGTATTTTCACTCTCCCAGCTCTTCACTCTTATTTTCACTCTCCCAGCTCCTCACTCTTATTTTCACTCTCCCAGCTCTTCACTCTTATTTTCACTTTCCGTGGCATTTCGGTTCGTATTGCCGCTTGCGCATCTCACGCAACGCCGCCAATTCAAGGCCATAAAAAACTTCAACGCTGACGCCATCCCCGACGTTGACATTCTCTTGGTCTGTAAAAAGTAGGCTGGTCTGTACAGACCTGGGGATACTGATCTATACTGAGGCAGCGTTATAGGGATACTGATTTATACTGAGGCAGCGTTTTAGGCATACTGAGACAGCATTATAGGTATATACTGATTTATAGCGTGGCAGCGTTATAGGTATACTGATCTATCCTGAGGTAGCGTTATGGGTATCCTGATCTATGCTGAGACAGCGTTATAGGTAGGTATACTAAGGCAGCGTTATAGGTATACTGATCTATCCTGAGGCAGCGTTATAGGTATACCGATCTATACTGACGCAGCGTTATAGGTATACTGACGCAGCGTTATTGGTATACTGACGCAGCGTTATAGGTATACGGAGGCAGCGTTATAGGTATACTGAGGCAGCATTATAGGTATACTGACGCAGCGTTATAGGTATACTGACGCAGCGTTATAGGTAAACGGACGCAGCGTTATAGGTATACTGAGACAGCGTTATAGGTATACTGAGGCAGCGTTATAGGTATACTGAGGCAGCGTTATAGGTATACTGACGCAGTGCTGTATATATATAGTGTTTTATCGTACAGTATACATACAATGTATACTATTGTTAAAGTACATAAAGTATATAGCAAGGATAATTTCAGCAAAGTAAAATTCATCCCGTAAATAGCGCTGAAATTTCTTTCAGTAAATTACGCTGGAAATTCATTCAGTAAATTACGCTGGAAATTCATTCAGTAAATTACGCTTGAAATTCATCCCGTAAATAGCGCTGAAATTTCTTTCAGTAAATTGCACTGGAAATTCATTCAGTAATTTGCACTAGAAATTCATTCAGTAAATTGCGCTGGAAATTAATTCGGTAAATTGCGCTGGAAATTCCTCCAGTAAATTGCACTGCAAATTCATTTAGTAAATTGCGCTGGAAATTCATTCAGTAAATTGCGCTGGAAATTAATTCAGTAAATTGCGCTGGAAATTCATTCAGTAAATTGCACTAGAAATTCATTCAGTAAATTGCGCTGGAAATTCATTCAGTAAATTGCACTAGAAATTCATTCAGTAAATTGCGCTGGAAATTCATTCAGTAAATTGCGCTGGAAATTCATTCAGTAAATTTCTCTGAAAATTCATTCAGTAAAATGCACTGTAAATTCATTCAGTAAATTGTGCTGTAAATTCATTCATTAAATTGCATTCGAAATTCATTCATTGCACTAAAATTTATTCAGTAAATTGCACTGTAAATTCATTCAGTAAATTGCTCTGGAAATTCATTCAGAGCATTGCGCTGCTAATACATTCAGTAAATTACACTGGAAATTCATTCAGTAAATTTCTCTGAAAATTCATTCAGTAAATTGCATTGGAATTTCAGAGTTGAACTCTCGCCTGATCTTCATGAATGGCCTTGACGTTCCTGACATTCTTCATTCTTATACATTTTATTTGTCGTCCGTTGTATTCAACTTGAATGTTGAATGAACTTTTGCAGTGTTTTGCGGCCAACTTTATTTCAACTTTCATCACATTCATGTTAACATTCCATGTGGGGAGCGTTGAAATTAGTCTCATTCAATGGGATAAAAGAAATGTGATCATGTGTCCAATAAATGTGATCACGTGTCTAATAAATGTGATCACGTGTCCAATAAATGTGATCACGTGTACAATAAATGTGATCACGTGTCTAATAAATGTGATCACGTGTCTAATAAATGTGATCACGTGTCCAATAAATGTGATCACGTGTACAATAAATGTGATCACGTGTCTAATAAATGTGATCACGTGTCTAATAAATGTGATCACGTGTCTACCTGTTCTAGAGCAGGTTTGTGAGGCGAGTTCTACGAGAACTGATCTATATTGCTGCCTCACATGGCCTTGAGGGTTCTCACAATCCTCACAATCCTGTCCCTCACAATCCTCTCCCTCATAATCCTCTCCCTCACACTCCGTTATCGTGCGATGTTTTACAATTTACGTTTTTCACCGTTTTTATTCTATCATAAATGAACCGGTAAATCTTCTTAACATCCTTATTATGACTGCAACCTGCAGTCGTTATATACATTTAGTGACCGATTACATATATTTTATTACCTGTTTTATACATCTGATGACCGGTTATATATATTTCATGGCCGATAATGATTCATCAGAAAAGTATTCAATATAACGTCAATTGTGTCGCCGTTCATAAATTATAGATTTTTCTATAAGTTGAAAACTCTTTTTTTCCACGACTCAATATGATGGATTTAAACTCGATACAATTCTTATCCCATCGAAATTGACTTAATTTTTGTATCGGGAATCATGCACCCATCTTGTGTTATACAGCTGAATAGCTGAATTTATATGCTGGTAAAATATCATTGAATGAATAGTTCGGTGAATAGATAATATTCATGTATTCACCAGTCACCCCTCCACCAGTTATACATCATTAATTGCA